ATTAAAACTAATTAAGTGGGTCCGATTAAAAATCAGAGAATTAAAAATGTTACAATAATTTGTAACAACAATTAAACAAGAAATTGATTCTCTCTTGCACAATTAATTGCTCAAATTTTAATATGCAATGAAGTCGTTTGTGAATTGTAAGAACCTTTTTAAGGATTAAAAATATAATTAAAATATTTTCTAATAAAAAATCGATCATTGAAATTTTTCTGACTTATTGTAAGGGAATTTTCAATTCTTCCAAGTAGATAATTAAAGCTTTGTGTTGTGATTGATTTCTTTAAAAGCAAGAATTAAACAATTCTTTTGGTTAAGTTTGAGAGAAGGAAATTCGTCACAAGAGACAATTAATTTCATAATTTATTATATTTTGGTGATTGGGTTCAATCTTTGAAAAAATTTCCATTTGGAGTCTTCAACTCTAAAGTACGTAAAGGAAATTCATAAATTTGATACAATTTATTTTCTTTTTTATAATATCTTGAACCCAATCTACTTTAGCTCTTATTTTTATTGTTCTAATCAATCATTTCCTATCTTCTTTTTAAAATTCGTTTCATGATTGTTTCATCAAGATTGTGAGAGTTTTCATAGCGAGAAAGCATTTCAGCATCATACGATAAAATTCCTCTAGAAAAATTCACACAATCGTTTTGAACAATTCACTTCCAATATTTATTTAGTTTAAAATTTCATGATAAATATTTTTTATTCAATGTATTGATGTTGCAAACGCATGTGTACTTACATAAATGTCTGCAGATATTTATTGTACAAAAAAGAAATCAGTGAATGTCTGTGCAATTCAGCAAAATGCATCACACAAAGATGAAATGCATTTTGGAGTTACTATGGAATGTACATCAAAATAAAAGTCCAAATTCAGATATTCTGTTTTTAAAAACAAAAAAAGAATTTTTAGGCACATTGTTTGAGAATAATTTCATGTTTATGATGTATTTACTCAATATGGAAGTAGAGTCAGCTAAGTAGGTCTAATTAGAAAAATTCTGCGGCAAACATGAAAAGAATTTTTTTCATTACAAAATTTAAATCTGCTTCGTTAGTGTTGAGTGGATAGAAACCAACTTAGATTAAGTAGTGCTAAAAACAGTTTTCATTTTAATTAAAAAAATAAAATCGACTCTCAGAGCTCTAAATGGAATGTCTGACATCATGCAATTGGTCAGTTTGTAACTGTTTAAAATAAATCATTGGATGCACATCAAAGCGTCTTGTTAACAACTCATTTATGTTGCTACAAGCTTCAACAATGATTTCAAGCATCCGCATTTACATTGCTTATTTCACGTGTACTTTTGAATCTTACGCAAATCGATTCCTTTCATAAAGGGACGAGATATAAATTTATATTTTATTGACTGAATAGTTTTCAATAACAAATCATTTTTCAGAGATTCTTAGGGGTGCCAATGTTTCGAAATTGTTTTTTACAAATGTTTCATTTTTTTTCTTTCAGAATATAACAAAATTAAAGATACAAAAACTTATAGAACAACGCATTTGATAAAAGTTTTCTTAATAAAGAATCTTTTGTTAGTGATTTGATTAGATGTTTTTAGCAATTTTATTATTATTTATTAATAAGCATTAACAATTTTCTTTCGACTTAAAAAATGTAGTTTTAAATTACAAGATGTTTTAATATTGATTGAAAGGCGTTTTATTTGTTGAATCGCCGATTAGTAAGTGTTAGACATGTTAGTTTTTACAACGTTGCTTTATTACAAGTTGTCATTGGCACAAAATGAGCATTAGAAAAGATTCTTTCTTTTTATTATCTTAAAAATTAATATTTTTGTGTTGCATTTTGCGTTGTTTGTCATTTATGTGGAATTTAGAAAAAAAAAATTACATAAGATTGAACATAGAGAAAAATAATTAACAAAGTACGATTTTTATGATCATACACACTTTTTTCCTTCTTTTCAAGTGAATTGAAAACAAAACGCAGCAAAAATTTTGAACAATTTCTTCCAATCGACTCTTGGAAATTCTTCCTTCGCAAAAATATTTCTTAAACGCTTTCATTGTTCTTTTTAATCATTCACAAGTTGTGAGACCATTTTCAAATGGAATTTTCTCTTAAAAAACTTGAACGCATTAAACATGTTAAAATCGATAATCATTGATGATTATCGACAACAAATTTTTTTCCTTCAACGATTTTTTACACTTTTTTTCTCTTTGTAGTCTTCCTTAAAACTAAAAGAAAAATCTTTTTTCCCACGAAAATTCAAGGACGCTTTTCAATGATGAAAAGCTCGCGGATCTTAAGAAAAACAAAAATAGTACGAAGCGAAAAAATTTCCAGCAGCTTAATAATAATTTCTTTTTGTTTTCTAATTTAATTGTTCGTTTGTTTCACTGCACCAAAACAAATTAAAGAAGGGAGATTGTGGATTAATATTTAATCAAAAATATATTGGAAGTCAATTGCTTCGTGTCTTGAGAAAAGATAAGTAGCCTAAATGTCTGTTATTATGTTGTGACATGAAAGTTTTGTCACAAAAGACGAAGCTGATCACAATTTGTTAAAGATGAAATCAAAAAAAAAAAAAAGAAGAAACTTAAACGAACCGACTTGACTTTGATCTTGCTGGAAATTTTACTTGTGACCATAGCCCATCAATGGATTCATTCCACTGTTACCTCCTGCTGGCGATGATGGTGATTCTGGATTACTTCCCGAACTTGAACTCCCAAACGATAACGATGGAAAGGCATTTGGTCCAACACCGACAATTTGTTGTGTCTTCGAGTTGCGCGTTAATGGTTTATGATTGCGCAAATGAATGTCATTTATATGACGAATTTGCCAACATTGACGACAGAAATAACTTGAAGTGATAAAATATTCGTTTTTTATCTCATGGAAAGAAAGAAAAAAGGAAAATTCAACTCACCGAAAGCATGACAACTCACGACAATAATATGGTCCATGTTGAACGCCACATAATGAACAAAGTGAATCTTCCAAGTACGGATCAACTTGAACTTTCTTCGTAAACTTTGATGTCTTGATTTCAATGAAGGCAGCAGACACAGCTCGCATATAAGAGCGCGTATTGTTAAACGTGACACGTCCAGATCCAATTGGATATTTATATTTGTCTGTGTCGATTCCAGCGTAAACAACTCCGTCAAATAAATCGTTCATGATTTTTGCAAGAGCTTCTGCAGTCAATTTGCCATGTAAGGCGCCAACGAAAACAGTCTTTGTTGAGTCGAGCTTTTGATTTGTGTTCTTGATGTAATTTGAGTCACCAATTATCCATGGAATTACTTCAACTTCCTTCTCTTTGATTCTTTTCGAAGAGATTTTATAATAATAATTACCATTGGTATTTCCAGAAACCGATGAATTACAAAGACTTGTAATGGATCCAGTCGATTCTCCACTTGACGATCCTGAGAACGTGTCTTGAATTGTGAAAGCCTGTAACAAAGCTTTTACTTGTTTCTCCGATTCAAATATGACATAAACATAGCCTTTTGGTTGTGCCACGTTTTGTTCTTTTCCTGGCCATTCAATTCGAATTTGACCAAAAGGTTTCAAGATCTGCATCAATGTCTGTTCGCTAATATCCCAAGGAATTCCACCCAAGAAAACTTTCGGCGAATATGTGATAAAGCGATGAGAACGAGGTGGTAAAACTCCACTCCATGTACAGCTGGCATCGTATAAAGCAGCTGATGTGCGATGGTATTTAGCAGCATGATCTAATGCTGTATTATTGCCACTGTTATTGTTGTTATTATTGTTATTATTCGATGGACTTTGACGCCAAATTTGAAGTTGCTGAACTTGATTGAATCGGTTTAAAAGCTGCTGTTGCAGAATTTGTTGGATTGGCGGTGAATTCAACTGTGGAAGTTGATGATTTTGTTGTTGCTGAAGTAATTGAAAGGCTTGGAAAGCTTGAAGTTGTTTAAGCTCAGCTTGTGAGTATTGATAGCATTGTTGCTCTTGTTGACGTTGTTGAACTTCATGTTGCTGTGATTGGGTTGGGGAATTTAATTGAAGAATATTCTGAGAAAATCACTTTTAAGTTTCTTACACAAAACATTTAAAATTTGATTTCAAACTTACCATCAATTCCATCAAACTTCGATTCTCGAACGAATTTGAAGTTAAATCTTGTGAGTCGTTGATGATTGGTGAGTTTGATCGACTCAAATTATAAAAACTCTCATATGACGAACGACTGTTGTTAGAATCATTACTGAATAATAAAAATATATTTTATTAAAGAAATTCCATTGATAGCAAAGAAAATTTACCCGAATGACGGCGGTGAATTCTGAAAGACTTTCGATGAGCCAGGTGTACTTGGGGTGGTTGGGGTTGTAACATTACATTCATAACTCATGTTGCGTTGAAGCGAACGATTGTCGAACTGGAAAATATTCCAGGAAAATTAAGGAAAATGTCGTGAGATCTCAAGGGAAATCATTAAAAAAATAAAAAATACAAACATCAATCAACGACTTCTTACCTGAAAGCTTTCAAATGAATTCTTCGGCGTTGTCGTTGGAATGTAATTGCTGTTGTTGCCATTATGTGAATTAAATCCATTCTGAATGTTTCCCTTCATTGGTGTCGACGTTGCCATGTTGCCAAATAAATCTGCGAACGTAAGATTGCTGTTGTCAGCTGTGAGAAGCATAAAATGTATTAAAAATAATCTTGTTCCGGTTCTATTTGTATCGGCAGAAATAAGAAATGAAAGAGAATGATTTAAATGTGATACGAAGAAAAGAAATGTTGGAATAATGATGTGAAAGGAAAAGATTGTTTGGATTGCTTTGAAAGGAAGTCAAATTTTTTTTTCATAATTCAGCTTTAAATTCTTTTAAATCTCCGAATAGGTGGAAGTGAATTTGTGAAACTTTGATGTAGTTTTTTAAGATAACAATGAAGATTCAAGAGAATGTCCGTGATCTGAATATCCCTACGAATGAGATGCGAATTAACTCTTTCGAAAAAGGATCAAAGATGTTCTGCATCAACGCCAAATAAGCTTTGCAAGCATGGAAGCCAAGGCGACTGCCAAAATGCACATCAGAATTGCGAATAAAATCTTCCAGTTAATAAAATCTTACAAGAAAATTGTCATCTTATTTATTTTATTACTTCGCTCCTCCGCTTTCCATAACCAAACTTCAACAATTGGCTTCTCCTTTCCTCATTTCATTTTTTCCAACAACAAAAGTTGCACAATGACGTAGGAAAAGAAACGAAGAAAAGCTTTCAAAAGTCTCATGGGTGGAGTTGAAAAAAGAATATATAAAATAATGATAACGAGTTCGAAACGAAGCAGTAAATAATGAGACAAATAATAATCTTTAATTAGATTTAACGAGCTTAAATTTAAAATATTAGTTGAAGGTTCTCTGTTGTTTCTTTCATCGACAATGTCAAATGATATCATGAAAGATTAAATACAAATGTTGAAAGATTTTCAATGACAATATTTCGATCCCGTTCCAGATTAAAACAATTTTATGACGTCTTTTTCCGCCAAAGTTTTGCGACTGAAGAATGCAAAAGAATAAAATTATTTATTAGCTGCATCAGCATTTAAAAATCCAGAAAAATGAGTGGAATTGCTTCAGCCAACAATAAATAACAAAACAAATTGTTTATTTATCTGAGGAAAAATAAAATCATTGCGAGTCAGAGACAAGCAGCAGCAACAGTCAGTGGCATGAGATAAGAATATTTAGTGCCAGACGTTCACTTAATTCTTCTATCATCTGATAACAGTGAGTTTCCACCCACAAAATATTTTATAGTCGCATGTTAAGGCTATGCATAAATAAATTCTCTGACATAGATTTGAATTTAAGGATAAATAAATGTTACGAAGTCGACATCAAAAAGAGTTTCAACAGAATAAATTTGGATTTGAAGGAACTTCAAAATTCTTTAATCTTAACACAACTTCCAATAAATCTTTCATTCAATTTCATAATTTTCATAGCATATCATTAAAGTTGCTGTAGATCGAAGTTTTTATCTTCATTTTCTCGCTTTTCAACTCTCACATCCTTTTTCATAACATAAAATTTAATTAAAAAATTTATTTTCCATTGCACATAACTTAAAATCAGTTTTTAATGAAAATCTCGTCTTACCTTCGGTTGGTAAGATCATTTCGTTGTGCTCCAACAGTGAATTGATGGAGTGCTTCTGCAATATATCCGAACCAGTAAGACTTCCAGCACAATCTTTAAAGTTTGATGTCTGAAAATGAAGGAAAGATAAAAATGATAAATAATTAGCATATCTACAATTTTAATTAATTAAATATTTCGTTGTGAAAAATGCATTCGCATCTCTCATTCCGAGATATTTAATGAAACATGCAAACTCATATCCATCACACGCAGTGAAAAGTTTACTGTTCTGATTTTAATTCGATTAATTCAACGTAGATGATTTTAATGGAATTTAATTTTCAACATTTATATCTTGTGTGTGTGTTTGTGTGAATGTTTGCTAACATATTGTAAATTATTATGTTTCATATTTAATCCTATTTGAAGAATTAATGAAAGTTAGTCACCAGGTTTATCGTTATCTGACAGTCAGCACACTCTAAGAGCGAATGAAGAGAAGTTTCATAGAACAAAGTCACTCTAATTAAATGCTGCATTAAATAAATACTTCTAATAAATAGGCGTAAAGTTGATGATGATGAACCTTCCATCAGAATGTGATGATTAAAAAAATAATTTCCACTCTACTGAATCGATATTTATATATTAGAATGAATATACGTTTGAGAGCTACTCATGCTTACGCTTATAATCCAAATGTTGATAAACAGAATATTATCTTAATGAAAACAAACGAAAAGAGAAAGCAATTACAATAAAGCATTCCTGGTTTAAGCATCATCGTCATCATCAGAGAATTCTTTCATTTTATCCTTTCATTCACCTGTCAACAAACTTTTACTCAACAAAGGCTTATTTTTAGAACATAAAATGAGAAAAGATAGAAAAAAATATGTAAACCCAATCAAGTCGAGTCCCCATGGGGTTTCATCTAAAAAGAAAGCATGCAACAAGCACATTCAACGTCTACAAACAATATAGACAATGTTTACATTCCAATTCTTTCGTTTTAGTTGCAAACTAATGCTCTCATTAGGCAAAGTGAAGCAGCTCCATTCCAAACATTTAATTACTAATTTCCACACAGATTGATTCGCTTCCACTTGGCTTGTTTGTTGGTATTTATGCAATATTTTGTTCGCTCTCATTCCCTAACTTTGAGCGAACAGATAATTGCTGTTTAATTTCCAAACCACCTTTTATGTGTTATGCAAACGATTCAGTGGATTTTTTTATCCTCTCTTGGCGTGATTTATGAATTTTTAATAAACTTCCACTGAAAAGTTCTTCATTTGTAGATTATGTGTTGAAAAGTTTATCTCATCACGCAAACCATGATGGTTTCATTGTTCAAATTGTGTCGAGATTATTTCCTGTTTTTTGCTTGTCATTTTCATTTTCTTAAGCGAGATGAGAAGGTCGACATAATAAATAAATGAGCAATGTGTCATGAAGTGATCCACAAGCAGACGACAAATTAATGTCAGTTCACGACCTCAATCTAAATTGTTTCGGTAAGAAGAAAGCAATCACTATGACCAAAGCTGAGATGACACTTAAGATCGGAAGACAATTGTTAAACAAATGGATTTTCATCAAACAAAATGACGTCAACACCTGTTGCATGAATGAAAAGTAGAAAATAACGAAAATATTTATTTCCAATCGTCATCATCGTAATGATACTCCACAAAAAAGGGTGGCAAATGTTTTTTTTCTCTCCTTTCCCTTTAGTTAAACAAATATATGCAACGTCACGCTTTTTCAGCAATTTTTCATCTCACTCACCATTGATGAATGATTTTTTTCCAGATCATTGGTTAAAAGAACAAACCATTTTCCTGATTGATCAATAATGAGTTTGTATTCTCATTTTATTTAAAAATATTTTCAACTTCTGTGATAGTTGCGATAAATTTTACAAACAGCCGCACATGACCGCATTGTTTGGCAGAAAAAAAAAGTTTCAACATAATGAACATGAAAATTGATGTATAAAAGCACATAAAAAGCTTTCACGAAAAGAGTTAATGAGAAAAGACTTGAAGGCATTTTTCAATTGTAAACGATTAATGGAAAAACGCATTCGTTGAAAAAAACATGAAAATTGGCGATTGTAATAATGAAATCCATCAGGGAATATTCATTACGATGTTGAACAGAAAGGAATGAGAAAGAACAAAGTCAAAACAGGAAGGGAATCTTTTCCTCATGATGTTTCCTCTTCCTTTTTCCTTTCAACCCGCTTGACAATTATTCTCATCAATTTTCCTCATCTCCATGACTTTTCAAACAACAAGTGAATAGAAAAGTGGAAGACCGTTTGTGAACTCCCACGCAATTAGGAAGCAAAGATCACTTTTGAATAGAGGAAAAGCATATTTTAATGACTACGATTCTCTTTAAGTTTTTTGCTTGATTGTAAATATTTCTGAAAGGAGTTTGAAGCATCAAATTTCATTTGACAACCACAACTAGAAAGAAGAGAAAATAATCGCGGAAATGCTTAAATATCATCATAACTTGAGTCTCTCATTTCTTCATCATTTTTCCACAGAATTTCCGTCTAAATAGCATAAAGAAATATTAAAATAATTTCGATTCAACATTTCAATTTGATTTGTTTTCCTTCAATAAAGGATTCTGTTGAAGTTTCACTCAACGTACATAAAGATTTCATTGAGAATTATAAAAGTTTCGCAACAGAAAAAGAAAAACACGAAGAAAAGTTTTCAGATTCAGTTTCAAAAGGAAGATTTCTAATTGGAAAATTGCTTGATAGGAAAAGTTGCATCTGAACCTTCTTCGGAATGAAATTTCTCTTCCTTTTCAATAATTTGATCTACTTATTGACGTTTACTTTAAGGGAAGAAGAGTAAAGAAATTTGAATTTTAAAGTATAAAAACGATTCTGATGAATTAAAATATGTTTTCCCTTTCCCCCCCTTCCTTCTATTGTTCTAGAAACAACGCAGCCTTCACCAGGAAATTCACAATGTAATAAACTCAATTCAACAACAGACAAACAGAGCTTTTCCCTTCTTTCGTAACTATTCTAGTTGCCTGAGGATATTTTCCTTTATTATTATTGTTGTTTGCATTTTCTTTCTACTTTTCTATTTTTGTCTCGCACACCATTTTTGCTTTTTCACTGAAAGATTCCTTCTTTCTCCTTTTTTTTCATTTGACAACAAAAGCATTCCATTCTGCTCATCTCCACTTTCCGCTTGAGGGATTTTAAAATTATGTTTGTGGCACACTCGGTATGTCTCTACAATAGCAATTCACGTGTGATTAAAGCGCATAATAGTCAAGTAAGTTGATAGAATTTGACTGTTCTGTAATCTCTTCATCGTCATCGTTTCACAATGTGATGAAACTTTAAGCTCCTTGAAGTGGATGTTGGTTGAACAACTCACAATCCACATGATGCTTCGTCTTCCCCTTTTCCATCTTCTTCAATTGTTCTCCATCAAACCATTTTCCACTCCAGAAAAAGCGACAGTCAAACAACGATTCAAACATCTGCAGCAACTGCTTATCACAAGTGTAATTATGAATGTTCATCATTCGCTTTCATACAACTTTCAACCACCCCCTAATTCACCCTCCCCACCATCATCTCATTCCGTTATCTTTTAAATTCTCTCAAATTTACATCAGTACCCTTGAAACATGAAAAATATTCATTTACCATCATTTCAAAAACTCGTCGTGAATGCTATGATGAAAATTTGACATTTTTGTTCGCTCACTCTGAACATTTCTTTTCTGTTTGGCTAAAAGCAAAAGAGAAAGAAGAATAAAAAGGAAGAATTCAGCCCACTAACAATTGAGTTTTCATTTTAAATCCTCTGGTTTTTGAAAGACATTCACTTGACCCGAAATATGATAACAGCGGAGGTTTTAAGCACCACACAAAAGTAAATCCGAAAGACATGTAAATAGATGAATTGAATGGAAGATGATGAGTGTTCAGCTTAAGACTTACTGAAGTGTCATTAAGTTATAAGCAAATAATATTTAAAGTCAAGCAGATTTGAAACGAGAATTTGTTAAAAAACTCATTAATATGATTCAACTTTGTTCTCCACGTTTTCCATAAAAATCGCTAATGAGCTTTTTTTTATTCCTTCTCAAAGCATACATGAAAATAAAGTTAAAACGATGATTGAAGGATCATCAGATGAGTCACTTTAAAAACCAAAAGCAATTAAAATGAAGTAAATTTTCCATTAAAAACTTTCAACATGATGCAACAAAGCGAATTTTATTATGTCAACACTTGAAGTGATTTCGTTTCATTCTCCTTCAGCCTGATTATGTGACATTGAAGCTCAATAAACACTTCGTAAGTAAGTAAAAAATTTTACTCCTTAAAAAAGAAGAAAGAAAGCTTTGAAGTGATATGAACAGCAGAATGTCACACTGCATCATCGTTGTGTTCTTTATGGCAAAAAAATAAGCAAAAATGCGACGCCGGAAGCGAAGAATTTTTATGTGAAAAATGATAAGAGTTGAGAAAATGATGAATTTTTCAATATTGCTCTTGCAATGGAGACATCAGCCAGCATTTCGTATAAAGATAAAGTTTGTAAGATGTCAAAATGATCCTTAGAGCTGCATGTTAGCTTTAAGCTAGATTACTGGATTCAACTCTAAAGATTCGAAGCTGATTTTTCACGCACAAGAATTTTACTGATAAACAAAAGTTTCAAAGGAATTTTCTTCTTTAAAAGAATTTCTTACTCTTCCCTTTCACATACACTCACAAATCTAGTCATCAGTATAAGCCAGACAAGCACAACATTTTTCATACTAAAACAATGAAATTTGTTTTTCAGTTTTATCAGAACATCAAGCGGAGAGAGAGAGAGAAATGCAATGAAGAAGAAACATTTTCAACATGAAAAACATGAAAATATGTTTTGAAGATCATACATGCGAGGAATGAAGTGAAAAGAGAAAAATATTTTAATATTTATTTATTTTCCTACTTAAGCAATTTAATTTTCCCATCACACACATTTGAACTTAAATGAGTACAATGAAAGAGTCGTCACATTTTTGTGATGCTGCTACTGGCTACATGGGAGGGAAGCCAACATGAAAATCCCATTTCACCCAATCTAAATCTCGAGCTCAAGGCAGAGGAAGGAAAATGAAAAGGTTCACAAACCCGAAGTGCCAAACAGCGTTGAAAAAACTGACGTTTCACCGATCCTTTCAAACCGTTCTCACCGCATTCGCAGAACACATGTGTATGTTGACTTCTTCATAAAGCAACCGTCATGACATGTTGGAAGTATGAAATTCTCGTTCTACATATTTCTATCTTTCCACCCTCGCCATCTGATTGAAAATTTGTTGATATTTGACAACTTTTCACATCGCTTATCATGAAATTGAAGTTGAATGCGTTGAATAAATTTCTGTTTTCATTTCATACTTATGCAAACATAAACAACAAAATCAAGTCATTTCCAATAATTTTATTATGTGAATAGTTTCAATATCTTTTATTTAAAGTTGGGACAGTTCAATCTAAATAAGGGAAACATGCATTCGAAACAAACATTTCACATTTCTCTCGTCAAGCAAGAACATCATCTCATTCATATTCAAGACAAGTTTTTTAACTCTTTCATTACAAATATCGTCTTTGAAAACAAGCTGTAGCATGATATGTATCCGAAAAGTTAAAGGAAATGTCAACAGATGAATGGAAGTGACGACGAAAGGCTCAAAATTTTCATTTCAGAAACATGAGAACTTTCAACATTTTTGAACCATTATTGTGAGTTTGTGACTTATTCACATCCTTTCAATTTATTCGTGATGAAAAAGGAAAATGTTCAATAGATATTTTAGCGTTTGTCTTGTTGAAAAAAAAGGATAAATTTCCATCATATGTAGATGGCGGAAATCGGATACATCGTCTTTGGGCTTTCCTTTCCGACAATGTCACTAAATAAACAACCAAAAGAGGCTTTTTTTTTCTCTTACTCTCAATACTCGAATGCTCATCAACGGTTGTCACGATATTGCGAACAATTTTCTATTCTAAAAGCTTTAAATTTCATGCTTCGTCGAGAGCAAGTTTCTTCCTTCTTCTTACGTGTTTTTCACGATAAACATGACGACACATCGCAGTGAAAGTGGTAAATTGAGCATGCCAAACAAAAACCAAATAAAGGAAAGAAGAAAAATTGTGACTTTGGTGATAACAGCTTCTTTAAACAAATATTAAGAGCGCCACCCTCGTTTCGCTTTAAGATTTCTTCCGAAACACGAGAGAATAAAATATTATGGTAACTTCTTATCACGCACACATGGTGGATTTGTGTATTTTTGACGGTACTTTAACAGCATCTGGCTTGATGATATCCTCCCTTTAGCTTCTGTTTGAATATGTAACGAGATGATGGCTTGAGGAAGGGAATGATTGACATGTTACGTCACAAAATAATTGTGACGATGACAATAAAAATGAAACCAAAATTAATCTTTTCTATCATTTAAAAGCAATTTTATAAAATCGTTTCAATGATTTATGTACGAAAACAAAAAATAATTTTAAATAACAACAATTGTGATGGAAAATGTTTTAAATCTCGCTTAAGATTTCAAGTAGACTTCTTGATGCTTGAGATTTAAACAAACAAAGTTTATTTTAATAACGTGACATGACATTCAATGATTCCCTTTAGTTTAGCATTTTGTTCCGGTGTTACTCGTTTACATTGACGTCTCGTGTCAGATTTCGGCGTTGGAAAATGAAAATCTAGCTGTTTTCTCATAACAATGATTTAAGAAAGGAAATTTTCCAATCAAATAAGCATCGATTGCGTGTATGAGAAGGTTTTCCGCAGCATTTTGTGTATGCTTTCTCTCTTTTTATTCTTTTTTTTCACCAAGGACAAGCGGCGTGTATTGAGACATAAAATTCTCGTAAACGGATACAGTCGAACGCAAATGGTTTCATCAGTAAACAGTATATTATGACATTTCCAGAATCCCTTCAGATCATTTTGTGAATGTGTTTCAACAGGAAATCTCTTTCAATATTCTTAAATTGCCTACTTAGCGCAAAAAAGAAAATTGATTTAAGTAAAAAATGGAGAAGGGGAAAATCATTTTCCGATCACATGAGTAATTCAATAACTTTGATTGATTTGTCTTGATAAAGATACATCAATTTCCACACACATCGAATAAGTCGCCTCAAAAATAAGTTGATGAGAAAAGAAAATTTCTTGTCGCAGGCAGCAAGTCGAAGAAACTTCAAATAAATTGGCATTTGGCAGCTTGCAATGATACGATAAATACGAAAGATGGATTTATATTATAAGAACCGAGATGGAAGGAAATTTTGTTCTCAACCGGATAGAGTTGGATATAAGATTCTAATAATAAACTTTTGGCGATGATTTTACACAAAAGAATTGCTTTGTGGCTTCTTCTCGTCCTTCGTTGTAACTTTTTTTCCTTCTTTTTCTTCTGTTGATTTTTTATAAGCTTTTGGAAATTGCAAGACGATGTGATATAAGAAGCAGTTTCATGTTTTAACATTTGTCATTTTTATGTTTACTGTCTATTTATGTCATTTAATAATAAACATGTTCATCAAGAAACATGCAGCAGAGAAACATTGCAAGACGATTCAATTTGAAAAAGATTGAGATGAAGATTAAGCAACCGGTAATCCAAGAAATGACCAATTTAACTGTCTGAACAAATTCTTGCTTTTGTCCTTTTTGATTGCCAAGTTAATTAAGACACATTGTTGAACACGTTCTTCCACTTAAATAGTTTCTGCTTTTGTTAACGTTTTCCCACTTACGAAACTGGGAAGTTGACAAGTGAAGTTGAGAAGAAATATTTTCAACAATTAGGTACAAGGAAAGGTAATTAAAGTAAATAAAAACCGGAAAACAGATTTTTTTACTTCTTATTTAATTTTTCTCACTCAACTGAACAATTCTTGCGAAAACTTTTCCTTTCTCTCGTTTTCTTTTCCAAGCCGGAGAAAAGAAAAAAATAAACGGAAAAATCTAAAGAAAAATCAATGAAACGATGGAAAAAGAAAGTTTTGTTGAGAATAGTTTTCTTTTACAGTTTTTTATGTGTAGTTTTTCCTTAGACTTGGGAAAATAACATTTCCAAAACCATGAGATTTTTATCATAGTTCAACTCATCTCGTAAAAGATGAAGATTATGGAATATTATACGACAAAGTTTGTTCTTGGAAGGGCTGTGGACCATTTCTCAATTTTTAAGGTTCCTAATGCAATTATAACTTAATTATTCTTATTTCAAGTTTCTGAGGCCTACTTAGAACCCTCGTTCATTAGATGTTTAAAAGGAAATTCTTTAAATTTCCATCATTTTCGTTTGAATAATCAAATGTTACTAGATGAAGGTTTTTCTCCTTTTTTAATTGCAGAAGCAAAGATTACTTAATGTAGAATTCATGTAGAAATAAAGAAACTTAGAAACTAACAAGGGCAACTTGCTACAATGCAATTACATTTAATTATGAAATTTCGAAAATGTTTTACTTCAGTCTTGAGTTTTTGATTGCTAGAAATCGTCATCATTTTTGCCTAATTCTCAAAGCTTTCTATTCTAAGAATCAAGATTCTTAGCATTTATTTTTCTAGTTTATTTAAGTGACTTTGTTACGTTTTTTGCTCTTCAATATCACAGAGAAACTTCAATTAAAAGCTTTGAATTTGCTTGTAAGTAATACAGACATGCTTTTCAACTTTTTTTTATTGCCCATCATTAGCGAACTCATCCTATCACCAATGTTTTTATCATTGATTTCAACTTTAAGGTATTTAATTATCTATGAAAATGTGAAACTTTCAATTGCCCATGATTTACATTGAGAAATGATGGTTGAAACGAACAAATTGAAATTCAATAGATTTGGAGTAGCGATAAAAATGCTTTAAAGCAACAAAAGGTTACTGAGAATCCTTTTGCACTCGTGATTTCTCAGAATTTCAATAAAAATGGTGACATGCACATGAGATTTGATTCACATACCTGTTGCAACGACGGCATTTTCTCACACTAGACTCTTCACGGATTTTTCTTCTCTTTTCGAATTTTCTTCCAACAATGTCAAAGTATTCAATTGTATTAGTTAACTCTTCTTGGTTAAAATTCAGGAAATCTCCTTTTTTCTCGCTTTCCTTACTGCCGTTTTCAATTAAAATCACAGGAAAAGCACGACAAGAGGCATCAACTTTATAATAAAACGGGAAGTCTTTAAAATCCTCGTCGACTTCTGTCCTTTTTTTATCAATTTATTTTTTTACACGATGACCGGCACGATTTTTTTTTGTTTTAAAATTCTCAGAACTTTCCGCAAACTTTTTTGCAAAAAGTAGAAAGAAAAGAATTTTTTAGTTTTACAAGTTATTAAGATTGAAGATTTTTAATGTTTCCTAAAACAAACACATTCCTTAAAACACATGAACGCGGAACATCTTCAAACGCACCTGGTTTTGCCAAAGAATTATTGTGCACTGATGAAAATGTGCTGAGTGAATTGAAATCCTCTCTTAAGAGAACTTTTTATTGCTAAAGCTTATTTAGACGGTTCTTCAGCAAAATTTTCCGTGGCCGACTGTCTTCTAAACTTGTGTTCCGGAATAATAAAAAATGCGGCAAAACTTGAAAATATTTTCGTTACTTTTATTTTAAATCACGAACAACATTTCAACGAAATAGATACATAAATGAATTTTTAAACATCTAAGCTCATATCAGACTCATTATCCTCAAACTTAAGTTTTCTGAAAGTGTCACTAGATTCTTTTGCATCATCTGAAAGTCCAGAATTAACTTTTGGAAAGATTGTTGTTTCTGCTATTGGTGTCATGTCTTCCTCGACCATTTCCTCAACTAAGTCTTCAAGAACTGTCTTCAATATTGTGCTTGTAATTGCGTCATCACGTTTTAATGACAAACTCTTGTGAAATGATTCAACAGCTTTATTGAGGTTTCCCATGAGCGCGTGAACAAAACCTATCGCAGTGTACGTTTGTGGATTTAGAGGCTTTAAAGACAATGCCTTAGTATGATATGAAAGTGATTCTGATAACTTCTTATTTTTCCTGCAGCTATGACCGAGATTATTAAGAAGCGGCTCCCATCGATCACTTAAAGGTTCATTATTTCTCTTACACATTTCAGTCACCATATTTAATGTTGTTCTGAAGATTTCCTCAGCATCTTCCCAAGCTTCCGATTCATATTTTATAACACCCAATTCATGTAGAACAAACACATCAAGAGGTGCCAACGACATTGCTTGATAGAAGAATTTCTCAGCCATTTCAAAATTTTTTGTGAGCCCACATTCAACGCCGATATAAAGAAGTGGCAAATGACATCCACGCATGAGTTGCGTTGCCTTGAAATAAGCAGCCATTGCTTGATCATGTTCTTTCTCTTTAGCAAATGAATGACCATAAGCAAGCCATGCCGGTCCAAAAAGACGATCAAGTGTTGCTGCTTTTGTTAAATATCTGCGCCCTTGTTCTGTTTTATTAATGAGATCGTAATAACAGCCAACAGCGTACCAAGCAATTGCTTCATCCGGATATAAATCTACAAGTTTATGAGCCATGTAAAAGAGTCCGTTGGAATCCTTCAATTCCATCAAACATCCAATCTGAACAAATAATGTCTTCTTGTGATAAGGATCACGTTCTAAAATTCTGTATTCAAATAAATTTAATTTAAAATTTCACAATCAATCAAACATTTACTTACGCTTCAATTATTTTAATACATTGTTTATATTCGCAATTATAAAACAATTCCTCTGCATGTGAAACCATAACGTCTACGCTATTGTCAAGCAATTGAAGAGCTTTTGATGCAGTAATACAATTGGTTGGATTCTTAATTGTACTTGCTGATGTTATTTTGCTGGTATTTACTGTTCGGCTTGTATTTAACATTGAAATTCGCGATAAACTCGACTGAATTGAAAATGATGAAGACGAAGTGTTTTTAAGCTCAGAAAGAATTTTGTTAGCTGGTGACATAATCCCAAGTGGTGATGGTGAACTGAACAACTTCATCGTACCTTTGATGGTTGTTGAAGTTGAAAGTCCAATTGACTTTCTATTTTCAAGTAATTCACTCTTTTTAATTTTTTCATTGATAACATTAAGCAGTTGAGTATTGTTAGGAGTTTTTTCTGGATGATTTATCTGAAAGTGAGTTAATTAAACAATGTTTAGGATTGCAAGTGTGACTGATGTTTACCTGAGTCTGAGCTGTGTAATACTTTTTCAATTTACTTTCATACAAATGTTTTAATATCTTCAAATCAGCTTCATTTCCTTGTTGTGGTGAAGGCAAAATGTGACTTATCAAATCTTTTTCTTCCCAAGCCATGAGCATTTCATGTTGCATTAAAGCGTCAAGTGCTTCAGTTAAGTAGACAGATTTTTGGAGTGCTTGAATGTAGCAGTCAATAGCCAGAGTTCTCTTGTCCATAGATTCCAGAATTTTGGCTTTCAGAAGATAAAGAGATGCTAACACATCCTAGAAATTTTATTTTCATTTAATTAGATTTAATGAAAATCATTCAACAACTCACATTCTTATTTGCATCGTTAACTGGACTAACTAATGAATCCATTTCTGAATCATTGTGAAGTGACGTATTGAGATCTTCAATTTCCGTAGATGTTAGTAAATTCAAAGCATCTTGGTAATCTTTTGAAGCATAAAGACATTCGATAAGCAGAGTGAAGCATAAAAGATTTGTCTTTTCGAGTCCACTTGATTTAATGACGTGAGCTGCACGATTATATTCACTAAGCATAAACATGCATTGAGCTAACTGGTATACATCTTTAGGGTAATGTTTTGAGAGTACGACTACTTTTTCAGCCCAAAATAAAGCTGATTTGTACCGGCGAAGACTTGAAAGTTGAAGTACAAGTTTCCGATAAGATTCAATATCGGTTGTGTGAAAATCCGATCTACAGGTGTTTTGATTTGCTTCACAATCTTCCATTTTGTTATATAAAAGTTGTTTTAAATGTAGAGAACTGTTTTATTCAAAAAAATGTTCAAACTTTAGTCAAATGCTTTATTCCGGTAACTGATCGAATGTTTACTTTTATTTTCGTTAAGTTTTTTTATTTGTATAAAAGCAGTTAAACTTGACGTTTCTTTTAATGACAAAGGAATAAATCAAATTGGATAAAAAATTCAACAGATGTATGATTGAATAATTAAGATTATTATTATGATGGTTTAATTGCAATCTTTTATGTAAATTTGTAATTTAATTTTGAGAAATTTCGGACAGTTGGACATTTTTAGTCACTTACTAAGAGAATTAGGATATGTAGTTAGCAACTCACAGCAAACATTTCCCGCCTTTTCTGTGCTGTCACTTGATTTTAGTAAACAATTGAATGAAGATTTACAACCAACCTAATTTTTAATTCTTTTACTATTTAAAGACAAAAGTAATAAATATAATTTAAAGATTGTTGTGAAAGAACAAATATCTTCTCCTGTAGCAATGGAATCAATCACATTGGCTGGAATTCTCACTAAAATCGCATTTCGCATGGAATGGGAAGAGTGGGATTTAACAGCTGAGGAATATGATATTCTCGAGTGAGTATCGTACATTTATTCTCATTATGGGCAAATTACAATATATAAAAATTTTTTAGTTCTGCATCTGGACAAGAAATTGCATACACAGCATATGAAAAAGGTTTACCTATTGTCACAATGCTTCGTAATGCTGATGAGTTAGTTGACATTCACAATGAGCGTGAGCAAAGTAAGAAAACGTAATATGTATGTAAACATATGAGATTCTAATAAGCTCATGATGGTTTTTTTGTTTTAGAAAATATTTTAAGAATTTTAAACGAATTGAAGCTTGATTTGATGTCTGATTTTCCTCGTGAAAAGAAAACTATTGAAACTAGTTTGACTACAGAGGATATTGAACGTCGTTTGATAGAAGAGACTATAAATGAGATTGTAGGAATATCACCGCCTGCGATGAAGGAACAATCTGACAAGATTCAAATTGAGATTCAAGCAAAACATAAAATGAAAGATAAAAATGTAGAAAACATTACATTCGCTAGTAAATTAGAATCAACAGGAAGTCGATTGGAGCCTTCGTTAATTCGTGAAATTGAACAAGGAGCTTCCAACATCACTCTCAATGAACTTGTCCCTACTCCAATTCAATTTATCGAACTTTCAGAAGGTTTTCCAGAAGCTTCGGCAGAAGAAGTCGCTGAAGCTGGTCACTTTTCTACACCTTACGGTCAAAGACTTTACAAATCAATGCGAAACTTAGAAGAAGAATTGAAACGTAAAAAGAAGCACGAAGATTCTTCAAAATTAATGGATCATTCACTTCCAATCTTGCCTTCATTTGCTGACAAATTGGAAACTGCTCCTCCACAAATTCCTTCTATAAATATAACTGATGTCTCTCTACCATTGCCACAGCCAATTGAAATGGATTCAAGCTTACAAGTACCTCAACAACATGAAAAGGAGACATCAACATCTCAAGCAATTGTTAAAGATAAAACTCCTGTTTTAGATGCTCCAGAAGAATATCAACCCATCCCAGTGCCTTTGACAGAAGAAGAACAACCAGCAGTTGAAATGGAAGTAGCAGCAGTTGGAATTCCAGAACCCTTAGATACACCCCAAAGTTTTTTTCAAAACAAAGAAACAAATATTGCAGCTCCTGCAACGACAGAAGATGCTCGACGATCAACTGAAAGTTTTGATGAATCACGTCGAGAATTGTTTGAAAAAATTGTTTTGCAGTCACCGTCAAGAGTTCAACAAAAAGTGGTGAAGAATCAAAGACGAGTTGTGAGATCACCAGAGAAGAAAGATGAAGAAATTCTTGAGTTTAACAAATATTTAATCTTCCATAAACATAAACCAAAGCCAAAAGGACCTCCAAATCTTCCTCCAATTTGCATTCCTCTCCATCTTAACTTTGATCCTTTCAAAGACATTGAAAATTATCAGTCAGACTACGGTGAATCTGATGTTGAAGAAGAAGATCAGTATGATTTTATTGACATGGAACCTGATAACTTAGACGCAGTCACTGCACCTCAGCACGTTACCGAAGCACCAACAAAACAAATACTGAGAGATTCAACTGCACATCGAAAGGAATCGAATATTATTGAAACTTTTATCACTCCAAAGGCCGTGCCTAAAGCCATTGAACAATCAACAAGTGGAATTTTAATTAAACGACGAAGATTGACAGAAGAAAAAGAAAATCGAATAGATTCATCTGAAGAACTTTTGCAACGCACTGGATCAACTCCTGGTGAACGTTTTCAGCCTAGAATAACTTCCACAGTACAAGCAAAAGAACGACCAAGTTTACTTAGAGTTCCACTTGAAACAATGGAATACAATCGATTGCAGTTGATTTCTGATCGTTCAATGCAACAAAATGTTTCTGGAGAGCCTTTGGAAAAAGAAAAGACAACTGAACAACCTTCAATTGAACTAATGCCAGTTCCAGACATTAATGTCGAAGATGTTCCATCAGAATTGCCACCTGTTGAACTGACAGCTCCAAAAATACCAACAAATGGACCAATTTACTTCAGAAAAGTTGAAGTTGATGGTGATGATTACATTAGATTCGCTGTTAATGGAGTTGTTCAACAACATGATCAATTTTTTCTCGATGTAAGCAACAAAACTTCTAAAATTTTCTTCATGTTTTAATTTTTCTTTCTTTTAATTTCAGACTGTTGGACTTTACATGCAAATTCGTTTCATCATGAAGGAACGCGAATGTTGGAAACTAAAGTTCAATGACCTTCTTCCTTTAGTTAGCTTAGTCAACGAAACTACTGAACATATCATAAAAATGCGACTTTGGTTTCTCGAGGATGAAAAATATGTGAAGCTTACATGGTCTGAGGATGAGAAAGACATCATTGAAGTTGAAATTCCAATCGCTGAGAGCGTTTAAGAAGAATCGAAAAATTTACGTTGAGATGAAGACAAAAAATGTTTTCCTTTTTTTTAATTTTTTACTGTAAGAAGTCTTGAAATCTCATCCAAGTGTATGCAATATGCTGTTAATATATAAAATTCGTAAATAAAATCTGTCAAAAGTGGGCAGGAAAACTGTAAGAAATGTAAAGACGAAGCTTCAATTTTCTCATCCATTCTCTGTCATATTTTGTCGAAATGGTTTAGGTAAAAACTTGAATTCTTCTTCTTGCAAACTGTAAACAACATCATCAACTAATTCTCTGCCAATTTTTGTACATAGGTATTTAAATACATTTCACTCTATTTAGAAATTCATCACACAAGAGTACTAAAAATTGCTTTTTAAATGTTTCCAAATTATTATCATGTTGATAAACTAGCACAACAGCTACACTTGATCTCTTGGTAATCTAATCTTATATTTATTACACGATATATGTACATATAAGAATATTTACAACGAAGGTTTATTTTTAAAACAGTGATGACAATGAAAGAAAACTAAAAATCATTTTCCTAATGGAAGAAAAATTTGTTTCTGAGAATTTTTCATTTTCTATCTCAAATTCCTGACCTTTCATAATTTTTTTTCTTCGCGTTTGTTATTCAACATATCTAACAACAAATGACACAAACGAATAAAATGTGAATTTATCATCATCACAAACAAATGAATGATTAAAAGTTTGAATGAATAAGCGTATCAGAAGATGTTTGATAAAAGATTAAAAACATTTGTATCGCTCAAAAAATCTTAACACTCTCAGTCGTGTTCCGTCTTTAATGTGAACAACATCTATAAATAATTAAGCTATAAAAATGGTTTTTTCAGTGGATGAGATTCTTGAAAAATCAAAGGAAAAATCAATTGAAGATGTAGATGGAGTAGATTTTAATAAAGCTTTGAAGAAAACAAGTAACAAACATGACAAATGACAATAATAGAAAGAAATACCTAATTAATTAATTTATTTTAGAGTTCGGAAAATTTCATTATTCTTTAATTATCATCTCCGGCATATTCATGGCTTCTGTCTTCTTCGAGACAATGGGCATCACTTACGTTCTTCCAATAGCTGAATGTGATCTTGACATCACATCAAAGCAACAATATGGAATCATTTCAGGCGTTTGGTTCGCAGGTGAACAAACAAATTTATCTTATTTAACCACAGATTTTTATTTTGATAATTTAACATTGTTGTGCTGCTTATCAGATGTTATAAAATTAAATTTATTTTCACTTGCTATCAGGAATTATCTTGACATCTCATGTGTGGGGGTTCCTTAGTGACACTTTTGGAAGAAAAAAAATCTTAATTGTCGCTTCTTTATCAGCATTTTGTGCATCAGTATTATCAAGTTTGGCAATGAACTTTTGGCAGATTGTGATGTTTCGTTTCCTTAATGGATTTTGGTAATTATTCATCGCAGGAATATTTAATGGTGTAATTTAAATTAAAATTATTTTAGTATTTCGGGATCGTCAAGTTCAATTTTTGCTTATCTTGGAGAATTTTTGGGATCAAAAAATCGATCACGATCGATGATGTTTGCGTCTGTCATTTTTGCAGTTGGCTGTTTAATTTTACCGGGAATGGCTTGGTTGGTGATAAATCAAAGTTGGACTCTCAACATTCCGCTTATAAATGTTACATACAAACCATGGCGATTATTTTTGATGTGCTGTGGGCTTCCAAGTTTGATTTGCAGCATTTGGATGTTCTTCTTCCCAGAAAGTCCCAAATATACTTTTTCACAGGCAAATATTCTTTGAAATCATTCAATTAATTTATTAACTAAAAAATCTTATACAGGGAAATGCTGAAAAAACCTTGAGAATCATGAAGAAGATTTACTATTCCAATACAGGAAAACGAGATTATCCTGTCTACAAAATAAAACCAAACGAAGAATTTGGATCGGCTTATGAAAGAAAAAATGTTTTTAAAATGATGCTTGAACAGACAGTGACACTCTTTAGTGATTATCCACGATCTATAATATTAATCTCATTAATTCAATTTGGAATATATTTTGTCTGTAATGGAATGCTTTTGTTCTTTCCTGACATTCTACATCAAACAGCAACATATTTGGAGAATCCTTTGGATGATTCGATAAAACTGTGCAACATAGTTGAAAGTGCTATTGAAGTCAAAAAGAACCCAACAGAATTAAATGATAAAATATGCATCGATAAACTTGATATCAGTGCTTATTACTACGCGCTTATTCTTGAATCTTGTTACTTTGTCGGATTTCTGCTTATGAGTCTTCTAGTGAATTATGTTGGTCGACTGGTGCTATTCAGCGTTGTTTTCTTCTCAACTGGCATTTCAGGAGTTCTCATTGCATACGTTGATGGACCACTTATTGGCACATATCTTTTCATTTGGCTTCTTTTCTGTGGTGTTAACAATACTCTTTTAAACACGGTGACTTATGATTTATTTCCAACGAATTTGAGATCACTCGCAATGAGTTTGTCATTAATGTTCGGAAGACTTGGTGAGGCATTAAATTTTATTTTGAATATTTTCAATTTATTTAATTTTAACTATTCAAGCTGCACTCATTGGAGGAAACGTCGCGGGATATCTCCTGGAAAGTTTCTGTTCTGAAATGTTTGTTTTATCAGGTGCTGTTCTTATACTTAGTGGAATCTTAACATTCTTCATACCGAATATGATTAGAAAGAAATAAGTTTACTTTTATTTGTGATAAATCATAGATTGTGTATAGGAAAATATGTTTTAAGATTTAATTACATGAAAAATTATAAGGTGTGGAATAAAAACTTGAATAAATAGAAAAAAAACTATTTTTAAATATCAATAGTCAAGTTTGTGCAAAAATTTTTAACAGATCTTTTAATATGAAAGCTCAAAAGCTTTAAATGAAATGACAAATTTAAATATTAATTATATAGCCAATTGATTAGCGTTTCCATCCATGTTTAGTTCGTTAGTAAGTAATGATAGAAATCAAGCTAACAACCAAGAAGCTTCCATAAAATGTCGTGATTGATTTGACTTTTCTGTTTCCATGACTTTGATAAGCAATGTGATTAATTGTCATTCTAACGGGACACGATTTAAATGTTTTATTAATTAACTATTGAAAGCAGGTTTCGGTTGCATTGGAGATAGTTCACGTAGAAGTTTTGCAGCAATTAAAATGTCACACAAAAAAGTATAAAAAGAAGATCTTTTTCTTATAATGAAATCAGTAGCAAAGTTCTTGTTTCTTAAATTGATTTTGTTTTGAATAATGAAACTTTATTTCGGATTTCTTTTTATTGTGCTTGGTAAGGAGTTCATTTTTGAAGTGGAATAAAATTTATCATTATTTTCAGCAATATTTGCGAGCATTGGTCTTGTGAGCGCTGGAGGTGATATCGTGGATATCTCTCCAATGTGCGGAGTCAATCGTGAGCTCTGTGATATTGTTGTCTGCCCTGAAGGGTTCACCAAGAAAAATTTGAAGAAACATCAATGTTGCTGTGATCCAGATGTATAATGTTAATTTAAATTATCTTAAATAAAATTGGAATTTTTTGTGACAAATAAATGAAAAAAAATATTTTAATGGTTATTATATTGATGAACAGTTTTATTTTATTAATATCTACATGTATTGATGTTGAAGTTTTATACAAGCAAGGATATAATTATGCAAACATAAATTTAGATTGCGTTAAAGAAAAAATCATCATGAGAATTGCATCTCCTTAAGCAACATGGAAAATGTAAGTATTTTGCAAACAGCGTTAAAATCTAAAATACTTAATTATAAGATAGATGTATGTGACTTAAATTTGAAAAACACTAATGTATGTCTTATTTAATATTATAAAAGAACGTGTAAAGAAAATAGTTGATTTTGAAATTTTTGAAATTTTTTAAAAAACTGCAAAATTCAAATCCAACTTTTTTCTTTGCATTTTAAATACCTAGGTACCTACGTTCTAAATAATGAAAAAGGTGAAGAAGATTTAATCACAAAGCAATGTGATTTTCACCCAAAATATAATCCTTATAGAGTTAGTCATTACATTCCTCATTTAGCTAGTTTAAATTATAGTAATATCGAATTTCCAATCAAATGTAGCGATATAAAAACATTTGAAAAGCAAAATCCCGATTTCAGTATTAATGCTTGTAGAAAAATTCATTTGTGTGACACTTGTCTACAATATTTTGCTAGTAAAGAGAAATTGGATATTCATATTCGCGATAAAAATTGTCTTTTTAAGCAAATTAAATTTTGCAAACTGCATTAGAATCAAAAATACTACATTATAAGATCAGTGGAAGTTATTTCCACATGGACTTGTTGAAATAAAACGTTGTTCCCGTTGCTAAGCTAAAAGGAATTCTAATACAGTTAGAAAATACAGCATTAACACATATTTGAACACTCTTCATACTGGTCAACCTCACACCAGTATTGTTCATAGAATAAAAAACAGAGTGTCTAAAACACCAACAGTACGCGAATTGAAAAACCGCTCTTAAGCTCGATGATGATAAAAGGTAAAATGTTTGAAACCAATGTATAGGAGCAATATATAGGAATTTCTTATTTGGATATACATTATAACTGATTAAAAGTAATTCAATCAGTAAAAAACCAAAATATTCACACGTGTTGATGAAATATTTAATTATTGTATGTACAACGGAAGTACAGTTTTATTCTTCATTCCTGTAAACTGCACGTTATGATCCCGGAATATCACATGATTTTTATATATCAACACTGCACTAATTTATTTTTTGTTTAAAATAAATTTTTATTTCAGACTTCGACTTTATCTCTCAATGTCTGAACTGATACTGAACTGTTAAACATATTTTTTCTACTTTCTTAGATTGTCTTCGCTTCTCTCATAACTCTGGGAAATTACCAGGAACAGATATTTAACTACCTAGACTAATTACTAATCCTCTTTTCTATTTTTTATTTAGATATTTATGTATTTGTATTTGAGCTACAAAAACAGGTTGAAACCTTATGCTGCAGCAAATATATTGTGTTTTTATGCTCTGTAATTTAAATATTTTAGAGTAAAAGTTTATGTAAATCAGTTTATTATTCTCTTGTTTATGATCAGTAAGTGAATGTACAAGAGAAAAAATATTAGCGATTGAAAAATAAAAGAAGGGAGGATCAAAAATCCTTGCTGTTTTAATGTTTTTTTAAAATTCATGTTATTTATAGTAGTATCAGCTATTCGAGCCATTTTCTCACTACCTGGGTAGGGCAGGTAAAGCAACAATTGTATAATGGTTAAATAAAGTATTTTCCACCGATCATGACAAGAAGAATGCTGAAATGAACTTTCATAATGAAGACTTCAATGTTCAAGACGTTAAATGTAAGGCAAGAAACTTTACAGGAAGTGAGCGTTTGTTTTATTTTATTTTCAGTTCAATGTTTCAAATATATTAATGTAAAATTAAAATCTCAGTTAAAAAACTTTTCAATGAAGAAATCAGAAATTTAACTTCTCAAATATTTTTACTTCGGTAAGGTTTTGCTTTTTGTTCATCAAATTTTCTTCAAGTTATTTTGTCATGTTTGAGAAGCACTGCGAGTCGCAGGGCCTAATCAATGAATTATATTCAATTACTGTTCTAATCTAGACTTTGAAATATCGTGACTCAAATTGCTTACTAGAATTACTCGTAATATTGAATTGAATTAGAAGAAAGATTTGACAATTGACATAAAGAAATCGTGGAAATTTATTCATATCACAAGTAACACGCGTTTGCTTTTCATTCAAATCTTACAAGCTTAGAAGGGAAATTCTAATAGAAATTTTAACGAAACTTTCATTGATGATCATCATCGTCATTGAAATCATTCAACTTGTTAAGTTCTAACTAAATACCTAGATAATACAATTCTACCAAAAATGGATAACATCAAAGAATTCAATGCCAAAAGTGCTTTCCCTTACGCACTTGGCTTCATTGGTTGTGGAAACATGGCATACGCCATTGTCTCAGGTTTGATCAAAGCAAAACTTTTTGAAGAAACTTCAATAATTGTGAGTGGAACAAAAATGGAATCATTCGAAAGGTGGACGCATTTCAATGTTGCTAAAACCTTGAAAAACAAAGAAGTTGTCGAGAAGAGTCAAATAACATTTCTTTGCGTTAAACCAAATGTAGCGAACGCAATCGCTAATAGCATGGGAAAAGACGTGACAACTTCTCCTAATCAAACATTTGTGTCAATTCTCGCTGGAAAATCTCTCGAAGATATCAAAGACATATTCAAGAATCTCCAACATTTAAATTTTATTCGTGCTATGCCTAACACACCACTCATGGTATGTGCTGGAGCTACAGCACTCACTGCCGATGATGTCAGAAGTGAAAGTTCTCTTCGGAACTTCGAAGTCATCAAAAGCATTTTCAAAACTTTAGGCATTGTTGAGATTGTTGATGAAAATAAATTTCATGCAATCACAGGATTGTCTGGATCAGGACCAGCATACATTTACATAATGATCGAAGCATTATCAGATGCTGGTGTAAAACAAGGACTACCGAGAGATCTTGCTACGAAATTTGCAGCTCAAACAGTGTTTGGTGCCTCAAAAACACTTCTCGAAACTGGGCTTCATCCAGGACAAGCTAAAGATCAAGTGACAAGTGCTGGTGGAACGACAATTTACGGTTTACATGAACTTGAGAAAGGAAGAATTCGTGATAGTTTAATTAACGCTGTTGAAGCTGCAACAAAACGAAGCGAGGAAATGTCAAAATATGTTGCACCAATGAACATTTTTATATCAAAATAAGAAATCCAAAGAAACTTTGTTTAGATTCTCATTCCGTAACCACCCAAGAAAAATAAATTAAAATAGTTAAAATAAATTTTATTATATCTAGATAATTGTAAAAGCTGATAAAAATAATTTTAGAAACCCATCGCTGCATCTTTATGACTGACGTACTCGACAGATTTAGAGGGTGCTGCTGGGAAGAATTCTTGACACTTCGTCATAAGTCGCTTTAATCCTTGAATATATTTTCTTTGTGTTTCATCGTTCAACACGTGAGCTACGTTTTTCGAGAAGATTTTTTCACGACCAGTACGAGCGTGAATACCAACCATAGTCACACCAATGGGCCATGGCGCATTACCAATTGCCATGGTAAGATAAGCATCGCTAGCTTTGATGTAATCACGTTCAAGAAGCTTTTTTATAATCTCAATGAGACTGTCAAAGATGTCATCGGGAATTTTATCATTTTTTAATTTCTTCAACAATGGTTTTAAGTAAACTCGAGTTTGAGTGAAAGTCGCCTTCGCAATTTTAGTTTTTGTTCTCAACTTTTCTTGCATTGTACCGGAGTTAACTTGGTCATTCCATGTTTTGAGAAGAAATTTAAGAAGTGTCAGCATCACATCAATGTCATGTTCTTTGTTTCCTTTTCCAAGGCTTCCAACTTTTTCTTGGATTGATTCATATGTCACTGAGTCGTCTAAGTCAATATCTTCATTTTTATTTTTGTCTTTGCTGGGACCTGCTGCACAATCATCGAGAATTTCTTGCAAGTATGCTTGATCCACTTCTTCCATAGCTTCTTGAAAATCATTTCGAAATCCGCGATTAACTTCCGGAGCTGAAATTTCAAGTTGACGAAGACGATGACAAGCATCCATTTCAGATTCACCGAACAGCAATATAGGCTCTCCCCGTTCTCTTAGTTTTCTGATCACTTCAGATCGAGGAAGTTTCATTAATTCTGCTGCAGTGTCTCGTGAACTTGTGGCGGGAGTAATTTTTTGATCATTGATTGCTTGATTTATTTTTACTTCATTAGCTAAATATTTATGAATGTATTCTTCTTTCTCTTTCTCGAGAAGTTCACCTCGTCTAAAGTATTTTCGCTTATCGTCCTTAAAAGAAATATGTATTCATAAATTATAACTTTTAATTTTAAAATGATTACGATTCTTACCACTAAGTTTTTATCTTCGAGAAGCTTCCTTTTCTTGGCAATTTCTGCCTTTAATATATCCATTTTTAAGAAGTCTACAAAATCCTAGAAATTGTTTTAGATTGTGAAATCAAAAAATTTTGTTTTGTTGACAAAAGTTGACGAAAATAATGACGATCATTGATTATGAGTTAACGTTAAAAATCTTCGTCAAGTTTAATTTATGACTGTCTGTCAACAGTTGTTGCTGTTCAATTCATAAGAAGCGCTTAATACGAGAATTTATAATTTTTCAAACTTCTGTAAGCTTCTTTAACAACAAACCTAAAAATTGTAAGAAAATTAATATTATCGAAGTTAAAGCACTTTTATTACAATGGCTGATGTTTTGGATATTGATAATGCTGAAGAATTTGAAGTAGATGACGATGGTGATCGTAAGTTAATTTAAAATTCATCATTTCCTCCTTTTAAAACTTTTTCATTTCCAGAGGGAATTTTACGGCTTAAGGAAAAGGCCAAAAAGAAGAAAGGCCGTGGTTTTGGAGCAGAATCATCACATCGCGAGCCGATTGACTATGAAAGTGTTCGTGATGATAATGAAGAAGCTGAACCTGGACCTCAAAGATGTAAGTAATTTTTCTATGAAATTCTTTGCAAATTCACCAAAAAATCTTGTTTTGTCTCCAGCTGTCGAAGGATGGATCCTTTTCATAACATCAATTCACGAAGAAGCACACGAAGATGACATTCAAGAAAAATTCTGTGAGTTTGGTGACATTAAGAATCTTCATCTGAACCTTGACCGGCGTACAGGATTTTTGAAGGGATATGCTCTTGTCGAGTATGAAACATACAAGCAAGCACTTGCAGCTAAAGAAGCAATGGATGGAGCAGAAATTCTCGGACAAAAAATCAACGTTGACTGGTGCTTTGTGAAAGGTCCGAAAAGATCACGCAAATCTGGTGATCGTAAGAAGAGACAGTAATCAACTAAACAATAACTTTAATCATCAATTTCTTATTCATAAGTGTGAATTTTTTATTTACCGAAGCTAATAAAATAATATGAAATCTTACAAACTAAAAAAGGAAAACAATTCATTTTATCCAGAACATCCACGACAACCACAATGCACACATTCGACGATTTTTCCCTCTTCAAGCTTTGCCTTGGGTACACGGCAAATACAATTTGTTCCAAAGTTAGTATCACGAGTTTGAATGCATCTTAAACAGCAGAGGCTCTCATATCCTGATTTCTTCCATTTTGCGATGAGGTTGGCGTCAGCAATTCTTTCTTTCAGGCAATACTCATAAAGTTCTCGTGATATGATTTTGCGACGATGGTACATGTCATAGATGTATCGGGATTTTTGATGATGAATTTTGAAAATAGGCCAAAGTGATTCATTTATTCGTTTTCCTTCATGTGGTTCGGTCTCGGCTGAAAATAGAAATTTAAATATTAAAAATTGAAAACGATTAACATTGTTTTCTTTTTATTAAATTTACCTTCTCGCATCTTCTGCTCCATACTTTCCAGCGTTTCTTCGATCAAATCCCATCCTTCTGGTGGTCGTTTCTTGCTTCTTCGTACTTTTGGCATAACTTTATTTATATATGTTAAGTCAAATGATTAATTTTGAAAGAAGTTGTTTAGTCTACTAGTTTTGAAGCTCGTCTTTTGGTGTTTACTTTCTAATGATTCAAATTTAACGAAACAAACATCTTGACGAAAATATTTTTAAAAAAATGCGCGAAATGCATACATTTCCGACTTTTGTGGAATTAATTAATTTTTGTATAATAACCTTTGTGTGTACTTAATTATAATTGAAATATTTGAACTTGACATGAACCAACGGCATAGAAAACAAGAATATTCTTCTTTTCGTCCCAACCATTTTCAAGCACCACAAATTTCATATTGCGCATGCGCCTTAGTTTTTCATGAGAAAATCTTTTATAAGTTTGAGGAAAACTAGCTAATATTTTAAATTTCTTAATTCAAGTATTGCTTTTAAATTAAAATAATAATCTATTGTGTAAAAGATTCAGAAGGAACTTGTTTAATTAAAAGGTAAAGATGAGAGAAAAAAACTTCTCTANCCTTCTCGCATCTTCTGCTCCATACTTTCCAGCGTTTCTTCGATCAAATCCCATCCTTCTGGTGGTCGTTTCTTGCTTCTTCGTACTTTTGGCATATCTTTATTTATATATTTTAAGTCTAATGATTAACTTTGACAATAGTTGTTTAGTCTACTAGTTTTGAAGTTCGTCTTTTGGTGTTTACTTTCTAATGATTCAAATTTAACGAAACAAAAATCTTGACGAAAATATTTTTAAAAAAATGCGCGAAATGCATAATTTCCGACCTTTGTAGAATTAATTAATTTTTGTATAATAACATTTTGTGTATACTTAATTATAATTGAAATATTTGAACTTGACATGAACCGACGGCATAGAAAACAAGAATATTCTTCTTTTCGTCCCAACCATTTTCAAGCACCACAAGTTTTTTTCATTGCGCATGCTCCTTAGTTTTTCATGAGAAAATCTTTGATAAATTTGAGGAAAACTAAAATTTTAAAATTTCTTAATTCAAGTATTGCTTTTAAATTAAATTAATAATCTATTGTGGAGTACAATTCATAAGGAACTTGATTAATTAAAAGGTAAAGATGAGAGAAAAGAACTTCTCTAAATTTAACATTTCACATGTTTTTCCTTAAACTCTCTCACAGTGATAAATAAATAACAAAGATGCTTTTTATTAACTTATAAATAAAAAATTTATCTCTAACATGAAGCAGTTAAACCATTGGATTTCATTAAAAATTAGTTTCATAATAAAATGCTTAATAATGAACATATTTGAGATGCGATGAAAAATTCAATGTTGAAGAATTGAAATTCTTTGCCCTACACAGATAGTACAAACTCACTAGGGGAAATTCATTCATGAAGTTTTGTCATGTAGCAGATATTTTACCATAAGCCTAATTATTGATTTATTCTTCAACGTTATCGAGAAAACGAAAAAGTTAACAAAATTCAATGAAGATATTTTCTTACCGAAATTTCCAAAATATTATCACCGCGTTGCCAGCTTGCAATCACACGTGCTTTAAGAAAGAAAAAGAAACATTATTCATTTATTCACATGTTAGATTACTTAAGTTAAAGTGACTCAAATGTTCAGTTCTTCACCAAAAATCAACGCGTTAAGACGCACCTGATCATAATTGTTATAAGCTATAAAAAATCGTTTTTAAGGAGTTTTATTGAATACTTCAAGCAATAGTAAATAGGATAATTGAATTTCAAAAAACATTTTGTGTGGATTCCGGATATAAAAAATTCTAACGTCATAACAAAATATAAAGAAACGCTATAAAATTCAATTTGTGCTAATTTAATAATTTTATTTTCAACTGTCTACTCGTGGATACATAAAAAATAATCAGAAGCAACATGAGTGATGCCAGTACAAAAAGTGTGAATTTTGATACAAATATGCCGAAAAATTTGGATCAAAAGCTGATAAGAAATGTGCAAAGTGTCATACCGAAAAGAAGGTGAAGTAAAATTATGTTCTACTAACTTTTTTATTAATCTTTTAACAACAAGAGATTTTAGTTAATTCTTTTATCATATTTGGACAATATATTCCTATAAGTTTAAATCAGATTTCTGAGTCATGTCCTACAACTGATATCGAACTGTGTCAATTTCTAAGCTTCGTTTCCAATTTTCTTATCAGTTGTGATAAGAAAATTTGAGTATCTAAATAGAAATATAAAAAATAATTCCATATAAAAATCTCTCATAGATTCAATTTTACTCACATTTTCTAAATATTTCACATTTAAATAATTTTTATTTTTATATCTCACTTAATTTAATAGACAACAATTGTTACAATGGGATGGCTGGGGTAATTATTTTTGAAATTAATGTTTTTACAATTGTAAACAATAAAAATCCTTTCAATTACTTAACTCAGGTTACAAAGATTCTGGATTTTATACAGTGGCTGAAAAAGTTTATTTTTCTGGTGATAGATATCCAATATCTGCCAAGGCTCCATTAGTAGCATTCAGGGAATGGGTGAGAACGAATTTCGGTATTGAAATAGTTGATGATTCGACAAAGTCAAAGATGCCGACTAAATTTCCTGACCCAATCATCAATGAAGAATTCTTTGAAGGGATAAAAAAATATAGAATTGATCATTCTATTCATGGTGAAGATCGTTTGTTCCGTTGTCATGGTCAAACACTAGCTGATATCCACAACCTCAGAAATGGAAAGTTTACTCGAATTCCTGACATTGTTTTATGGCCCGTTAATCATGATGAAGTTGTAAATATTGTGAAACTTGCCAATGAAGCAAATGTTATTTTAATACCTTTTGGTGGTGGAACAAACGTTACTGGAGCTGTTACATGTCCGCAAGATGAATATGAAAGATGTATCGTAATTTTAGATACATCACAAATGAATAGAATGCTGTGGTTAGATAAAGAAAACCTTTTAGCATGTTTTGAGTCAGGCATCGTAGGTCAAGATTTGGAAAGAGTACTTAATAAAGAAGGTTTAACAATGGGACATGAACCAGACAGCTATGAATTTTCGACATTGGGTGGTTGGGTTGCAACTCGAGCATCGGGAATGAAGAAGAATGTTTATGGAAACATCGAAGATTTGGTGGTGCGTGTAAAGATGGTGACAAGCAAAGGAGTTCTTGAGCGAAATATTTCAGCACCGCGAGTTAGTTGTGGACCTGATTTCAATCAAATTATTTTGGGAAGTGAAGGAACCTTGGGTGTTGTAACAGAAGTGATGGTTAAAGTCCGTCCATTACCACCTGTTAAAAGATATGGTTCACTTGTTTTCCCAGACTTATCGTCTGGAATAAAATGTCTTAGGGAAATCGCTAAAAGACGTTGTCAACCTGCAAGCATTCGTTTAATGGACAACGAACAATTTGCTTTTGGTCAGGCACTGAAAACTGAAGGCGGATTCTTCTCACATATAGGCGAGAAATTGAAAAAATTTGCGTTGACGACAATTAAAGGCTTTGACTTAGAAAAGCTGACAGTTGCGACTTTGCTTTTTGAAGGTGAGAAAGAAGATGTCGACAGACAAGAAAAGCTTATCTTTGAAATTGCTGGTAGACATGGAGGTTTCTCAGCAGGCGCAACAAATGGTCAGAAAGGCTACGTGAGTTGATTAACTTAATTTGTACGTGTTAAATAACTGAAAAATTATGATAATAAATTTTTTTCTTCAGGTGCTTACATTTGTGATCGCTTATATTCGCGTAAGTTTGTTTATCAATGCGTTAAGTAAAATTGTCTTAGAGTAATTGAAAACTGAATGAATTTTCTTCGAACCAACGACTCGCCCTTGATCTGAAAATTGTAAAAACTTCTTCATGTTCACTCCTCTAAATTTTTTATTTATTTCGTGGCTGATCATCTTCGTTGATGAATGGAATTTATTTAAGTCTCGTAATTATTCCGTATGAAAGATTAATTGTAATGCTAATGATAAAACGCTCTGACGCTTTGAAATGAGACACTCGTCTGAATTCTATACGAAGTTTTTTTTTCTTCGCGATGTCATCATCATCATCATCAGATCAAGGACAGGCACCTATAGGCCAATCCTGGCCATATAGGAACCACCATCAAAAGCCATAAGCGTTTTGAGGGCAATGGTCATAAGTGGCACGTGAAAATGACAACATTACGCAATTTCATCTTCGCGATGTTTTTTTTTTTTCGCTGTGAATTTTTTTTTTTTTTTCGCTAGGAATGTTTTTTTTTTTTCGCTAGGAAAAGGGCAACTTTGTATGGCAGGTACCCGAAGTAATAAAGGTACACACCCCATAATTTGATAGAAACTTTCTATTTGTATTTAAAACACTTTGGTAAAGAAATTTTTCAAATCGGTTAAGAAATGTGGAAATGGGAGTGTCTACATCCATCCATCCATCCATCCATCCCCACAGACCCGAAAGCGGACACAAATTTTTTTTTCGTTTTTTTCCACTTTTCTCGACGTTTCAAGCCATTTTAAGTGTAACTAAGCAAAGAAAATTTTTTGAAATTTTTGCGTAAATCCAATACGGTTGCCCGTCACCCTAGGGTGGGGCCTCCGTAAGTTATTTGTTAAAAAATAATTTTTCTCATTTAAATATTTTCGAATAAGTTTTTTTTACAATTTCTTTGACGCAAAATATTTTTCTTACATAACTAAGATAACAACAACGATTGTTGAACAATTTAATTTTTCATGTTGCAAAATTTTTGTATTTGCCGACTTGCAACAATTCTCTTGAATTTTATTGTTGACACTTCAAAATTATTTGTTGAGCTTTTCCGTATGATAATTTTAATGTTGTTCAAAACGCGAATACGATGAGTGAGCAATTAGGGTAAACGGAATCTTCTGAACAAAGTTAAGTTCCTAAGGTTTTGTTATATTCACAACAAATGAATAGCAAAACCACCAAGTAAGTTGGGGATTGTGCTGTATACAGTAACAAATACTACTGTAGACTCAATTAACAGCAGACGAAAAAATCAAAATCAAAGGAATCAGTCATTGAAATCATTGATTCTTCTTCGTGATCTCACAAGCATGTATCTTGTTCTATGATTCCATATTGTTTGTTGTCTTCCCCATTTTTACGTATAAAATCAATGTCACGGTCAAATTAAGGTAGCCGCTCTTGTTTAAACACCTAACAAACCTAATGTAAGTTTCACTCACGCAGAATTACGAAATAACAACTTTGATCAGGTCTTAAGTGCGTAATTTATTGTTTAACCAGATAATAAAACAGGAATAAAATATAAAGTTATTAATATTCAAAAAAAATATGCAAAATAATTTATAATTCCTTCAAACCAACATTTTATTGTGTCAATTTATATTTTATTTTTTCACTCATTTACGCAGCTTAAGATAACTTTGAAAGTATTTTTTGACCTTCCAGTCAAACCCATCATCATCATCATCATCAGAGTAGGGAGTGCACGACTGTACACTAAAGCGATTAAGAATATAGGAATATGAATTCGAACTTGTTTCGCTCCCTTTGTCTCATCACTTGAATGATGAAGGTTCCACTTTCAGTAGCGTTCCACAGGATTGTATATTCCTGAATACTCTTCATTGTTCATATTTGACAAATTTATATTTTTATCAAATTTGATACAAAGAGACATTTCAGTTTATGATATCCTAGTGAAAAATTCCATTTTAAATGAAACAGGGGTGAAGTATCTAAACTTCTGAAAACCTCAGCCCAAGTGACCACCACCGAGAATGGAACCAGGATCGTACCGATTAGTGAATCGATACGAATTCTGATACAAATCCGATGGCACAGACACTTAGGCCAATGAAGCAAATTTGCCCCCTTGATTGTCCAGTATCTATTACATTGCAAAATTTATTAATTATTCATTACCTTAAATGTCCACATTCTTTAATTTAAATAGGACCTTGCGCTTGATTACGGAATCGTTGCGGAGTCGTTTGAAACTTCTGTACCTTGGGATAAATGTGAAAAACTTTGTTACAACGTTAAAGCAGTTGTAAATGAAGAATGTATCAAACGTGGAATCCGATTCTTCTTGATCAGCTGTAGAGTCACACAAACATATGATGCCGGTGCGTGTGTTTACTTTTACTTCGGTTTTCGTCACAACTTAAAAGATGATCCCGTTCATACATACGAAGAAATTGAAAATAAAGCGCGTGATGAAGTGTTAGCGTCAGGGGATTATTTTTGATTAAGTAGCATAATTATATTTGATTAATTGAAATGTTTATAGGAGGTTCAATATCACATCACCATGGTGTCGGTAAGATTCGCGCCAAATGGTATAAACAAAGCGTTTCAAATCTTGGTGTGAGTCTTTACAAGTCAGCAAAAATCGAACTTGACCCAAAGAACGTTTTTGCAAATCGAAATTTACTGGAACCAGAGGATGAGGTTGACTTCAAACAAATTTCTGCAAAATTATAAGCAAGCAATAATTTACCAAAAACCTATTTAAGTGGAATGCTTTTTTCAGTATTTTTTACTCTTTATGTTTTGCACTTTTTCATGTTTTTTATTCATTCCAATAATGCTGAAGACAAAGAAAAACTTTCTTGTCATTTATTTAAACATGTTTGATATAACATTTTGTACTTTTGAAGACTTTAAGACTTAATTGAGATAAATAAAAGGCTTTTGTGTTGGTTTTTGTGAGTTTAATAAAACATCTGTTTGACATCACCAAATGAACTTACACAAACGACTGTTAGGAAATCAACATGTTGATAAAACTATCATCACGTCATGAAAAACGTCAGAAGAATAATTTCAACATGTTTTGCCAAATTGTCATGTGACTTAGGAATATTATGAAAGTATTAGAAACTTTAACTACCTACTACCGACTCTTTCAAAAACTTTATTCAATTGTGAACTCAGACAAACATTTATCTACACTTGTACCAAACACAATCCATGTTCATCCTTCTCGAAGCATCTTTTTTCATGTTCTTCAGTTTCAACATGTTGTGGGGCTGGTTTTCCTTGAGCGGCTGCATTCTTCTCGGCTTCTGCTTTAGCCTTTGCCTCTGCCTCTTTACGTGCTTTCCTTGCTGCTTTCCTTTTCAATCTTTGACTACGTTCATATTGCTTTCTACGTTTCATTCCTTCTTCTGTTAAGCTACTGTCAAGAAAATCAATCAAATCGTTTAACGAACGATCGTCTACGTATTCCCTTATGTATTTTCCATTTTTAAACAAAAGCATTGATGGGAATCCAACGACATTATATTTGCTGCACAAAAGACTCTTCTTTTCAGCCCAACAATTGACTCGGAAAACGTGAATTTCTTTATGATCTTGGTAATGTTCGTGCAAAAGATTTAAAGTTGACTTAATTTCTCGACAATGAATGCACCATTCTGCATAAAAGCTAGTATTCGGATGTAAAAAATTATTATAATTAATTTCACATTTACAATGTTTAAACCAATCAAAATTTACTCAACAAAGCAGGTGCCGCTTTTAATAGATTCTTCAAAGTTATCAGCGCTGAGTAATGGAACTGTGAACTCAATTTTCCTGTACTCTTTGTCTAAATGTATCACACAAAAATCTTTCAAGGATTTAAAATCCTGTGGACCAGAATAAACTTTCAGTAACTCGCCGCTGTTCCCATCTTTCATCACATATGGTAAAGATTTCTGTTCTTTGTTAATGTGACAATATTTGTTCTGACTTGTTGCACAATCATCTTCGAAGAATTTTATTCGTCCCTCAGGATTGAAATACTTCTTCAGTTCAGCAAATGCTTTTACTTGTTCTTCATTTTCAGAACTTCAATTGGTGATAAAAACATGGAAACAAAAGTACAATCATTAAGTTTCAGTTGTTTAAATACATTAATGACGTCGTTTTATCTTTTGTATTAAAATTACTATTTTATCAGGTGAAAAAAAAGTTTCATTTTAATTAGGATGAATATCAATTGAATCCAAAGTTGACTTTGAACAACTTAATTAATGAAGTTTATATTGTTAATTGCTCTTACTTACTTTGAGTTGAACAATCGGATGAAGACTCTTGAAAGAGGCGGTTCTTCACAGTGAACTATCTTTTTTAATAATAAGGTTGATGAAATGATGAGCAACACACTTTTAAGAGACATTCTACTTTCCCGGATAATTTAATGACTCTGAAAGGTTTTCTTCATCGGTTATCTCTTAATATAGCAACGAAAACTGCTTACAGCGCCATCTTTGAGAAGTTTTCTTCACTAACAAATAATTAAAAATGAAAAAATTTTTTGAAAATCCTATTTTGTGTATTGTATTGAAAACGAATTGATACAAATTTTATTTAGCAAGATACAGAAATTAATTATATGTTCCATCCTTTATTATAATAAAAGTTTTCCATGAAATTTTCAACATTACTAAACACTTTGATCAATCAAGATGTTCACGTTTCAAATAATGTTCCTTTGGAAGTGTTAAAAGTTCTTCATGTATAGCTTCATTGAGACAATCAACGACAGATTTTCCACTATCTACCGCTTTTGAAAGTCCTATTTTGACAGCTTCTGTTGTGACAGTTTTAAGATCAGTTGCCCAACCAATTGCAGCAAAAATGCGAATGAGTGCAGTTGATGTTCCTTGACCGTAATTTCCAAACTCTCCGCTTTGATAATCAAATGGCAAAAGGTAATGATACTGAGGCCAATAACTATGAACATGTATTACAAATAATCAATAAATTTTTTTGTATTTAACTGCAATCTCACCTCTTTGTCACCAAGAATACCATATTGGAATCTGATTGCTTTTGATCTTTATTTAATCCCCAAATAAAGTGCGCAGAATTGATAAGCCATGCAATGTTGATGACAATAATGTAGCGCAATGAAAAGGCAACGAAAATTGCAGCTTGAACTGTATCATCCCAATATTCTAAAGGTGCATTGATTGGCAGTAACACAAAAAGTACGAGATAAAGGATCCAATAGAATCTTAAAAAAATTAATTTCATCATTATAAAATTTAAAACCTTCACATATTTAAAATGTCATCACCTTTTTTGGAACATCACAAAACCATCTTCTTCAACGTCTTTCATATTCACAGCCTCAAGAAGTTTTTCTTGTCGTGGACTTAATTTTCGGATGTGTGCAAAAACTTGAGCGTGAAGAAAATCTTTATCACTGTAGAAAGGATCATCTTGTGTCTTAAAAGTTTGATGATGCAGTCGATGAATTCGAACCCAATCGTAAATTGACCCCTTAAAAAATAATAATGAGTTTATAGAATCCAAGGAAGTGACTGATTAAAATTCTCGTAATTTTATTCATGATATCAAAGTTCAAGTTTTGAAGTTTCTTTTTCGTATGCGGTTGACGTATAAAAAAGTAACTTAACTGTTCAATGCTTACCTGCCCAGCCATTGTCTGTGAAATCATCAATAAAAATCTCAGAATTCTATTGGCCTTAAACGTGTTATGAGTCCATAATCTGTGAGCTCCAACGGTCGATCCATAGATTCCCATGAGTGTTAAAATAAAAGCTAATTAGAAATTATTAAAAACTTTCATTCCACCGATATTAAATTCACTCACAAAATGCAATTGTAATCAACTTTGCTTGGGTGAACAGAACAATTATCCCATAAAGTCCCAAGATATTCAGATGAATAAAGAACAACACTGAAGGCCAAGACGCTTCTCGTTTAGAATCTGCCGATTTCTTTTTTTCTCCTTCAACATTTTGACTCGTTGTGGGATTTTCCTGACTTTCACTCATTGTTAATTATTTAATAATTATAAATTCTTTCGACAACTTTCTATTCAATGATTGAGAATGCTTTTAATAATACAACTGTCAGCGATCGCAGTCGATCGTTAAATGACAACAGAACGTTTGATGATTTTTAAATTCGGTTTTAATTAAATTCCTGTAATTTAAATTTTTGGAAATTTGAATGTTATTAAGGCAGGGACACAAAGTTAATAGATTGTAGTTCTTTATCAAATTTTGTGGAAGGGAAGTCGATTGCCAATAGTTATTCATGGTTTGAAATTAATTGCAGTTTTTTTTTTGTTAGATTTTTAACTTGCAAGCTTTATCAGTAGAACTCAAGTTGATCTTCCAGAAGAATTATTTGAGTTTGAACGCCTTCAACATTATAAATCAAGTTGTATTGGTGGCATTAACAACGGACAGTGAGAAAATATTAAAAATAATGTTGAAAATTAAGACCAAATTCTTGATAACGAATAAGTTTATCACAGAAAATGTTGAACATTAATTTTTACTTTACTCTTTTTCTCATACAAATATCTACATAAACTTGTACATGAATAACATCCACATGACTAAGAACTTTATTAATTAAATGTTTTTTGGTACAGTTCAAATTTGTTGAAAAGATTTTTAAATTCGAAGAAGAAATTTCAGAACTTTACTCATTCATTTTCCTTAAAATTTTCAGATCTTCATCTTCAATATCTTTATCATCCAATCCCCAAATTGAAGTTTTGTGTGCTTCATCATGGGTCAGAAAATAAGTTCCGTCGCCAGTTTTTGCTGCTCGTCTCGCAATCATATCATCAGTGGCATATTTCCTCTCATACGCCCAACCGTACTTCGCAAAGAAATCAATGAACGCCGTTGTGATGTTTGTTTGATAGCCTTTCCATCCACCAAATTCACCAGTTTTATAATCCCAAGGGAAAACATGCTAGACAACAATAACTTAGCAACAAAATCATTTAACATTTGTTATATTAATTTCCTTACGTGATAATTATGAAATCCTTCGCCCATCGCGGCAATCGATACAAAAATATTCTCCACGGGGCTAATGTTTTTGTCGTAAGGTCTGTCACCATACATGTGCGCAACACTGTTCACAAAGAATGCGATGTTTAATGTTGTACAAAATCGACATACGAAACATGTCCAAAAGGAAATCCAAAGGCATTCGTTCCAATAGTAATAAGGCACAATAACTGGAAATCCTATCGCAATAAACGCGAACAAAGGAATGTAATACCTGGAAAAGTAACGTAATGTAATTTGAGAATTTTAATCTGATTGTTGAACTCACTTTTTCTGCCACATGACAATTTTGTCAGCTTGCAAGTCACTCATGTCAATATTTTTCCTCTTCTCAACAACATCGGGATGTGGTGTAAGGAAAAGCCATCCAATATGTGCGAAGAAGAATCCACGCTTTGCATTATGTGGATCTGAATTTGTTTCCGAATATTTGTGATGAATTCGATGATCGTGTGCCCATGTGTAAGCGTCTCTCTATAAAATATCAAAGAAATGATTTATGTAATTCGTGGTATCGATTTACAACAATAAAATTACGTCATAAAACACAATTGCGGGGAATCAATTCTTTCGTGTGATGGTAACCTGAAGACTATTCATTTCTTATTTGTTATGTCTCGGAAGCTCAGCATGCACTAATGTTTCAAATATTGATTTTTCAACGTTTAAACCGAACCTTATTTGTCAAGAAATGCAAACAAAACATAAAGAATGACAAACAGAGAAAATTGTGCTCGTTTTATCTTTTAATTGACATCGTCAAGACATAATTATTTTTATTCGCAATTTGATGACGTAAAAGAAATGAATTATTTGATAAGTTTGGAATAATTCTAACAACCAACACCTTCTGAATGAATTATGCATACGTATGTAAGTAGAATGAAATTGTTTAGTCGAAATGGAAATCTAGGAAAGTTTCATGATTCGCGCTTTTATTAATGTCTCCATAGTTACATAGAAATCGACAAATAAAAAAATAATTGTGATGGTTATTTGAACTTCATAAAGTTGTCGAAGCTTTTGAAAGTTTAACATATCAAAAGTGAGCTTTTCTATCGCATTCGTTTTCATCAAATGTCGTGTTGATTTCATGTTATTCACAATTTGTTTCATTTTTTTTACTTTCCAAATTTACGATTAGCAATTGATGGCGTTGACCTTAAGATCATTTCAAATAGATTGCAAGAATTAACAAAAGGGCAAACATAGAATTTTTATGAGTAATAACTAAATTATTCAAATAAATGTTTTTTTCTTCTTTTTTTTCATAATTTGATGTTTTTACATTAAAGAAAATCGACAAAAGATTCTTATCAAGTGAAAGTTTCGTCTTGTTCTGCTCACACAAAAATATTCTTAGCATATATGTTTGACATACAATTTGTATGGGTTCGACTTAGATTAATAAATATTTCAGCATTTTTCTGTTTTCATATTTACCTGTCCAGCAATGGTGAAAAGAAAGACAAGGATAACACGCAATGGCCACTTTGCTTTAAATGATTTGTGCGACCACAAACGATGTGCACCTGCAGACACGAGAAATTGAAACATATATTGATAAATTCAAAGCTTCATGACTGGCATTTGAGAAGTTTAATACAACAATAGAAATGATTTCATATAAAAATTTATAAAGCTTACCAGCCGTGATTCCAATTCCTGAAGCATAAATTAACGCAACAACTGAAAATATCAATAAAGTATTCATTTAGTAAATACAATGACCCTTTATGAAGACACGAACTTACACCAAATATATGTGTAGAATTTGGGTTTCAATGCTACTAAGTAATAAAGTCCATACAGTGATCCCACGTGAATGAACAATTGTGCAAATAGATCTGGCCATCGTATTTGTGGCTGGAATTCAATACTCTCAACTTTACTTTGAGATTCTTCTGTTGTGGTAAGATTCTTAATGGAATGATTTGGTTGAGTTCTATCATGATGAGATTCTTTCGCATTATCTATTCGTGATCTCAAAATACTGTCATCTTGTTTGATGTCATCAGGTTTTTTATTTTCTGGATCGAGAATGTTTGGTGCCATGATTGGTAATTTCAAGGTTTTCAGACTGTTGACTAGAAAGCTGGAAACAAATTTTATTAAAGTTCAATTAATTGGGTCAAAATAAATAAATTTCTGATTAGAACAAATTATCATAAGCGAGTCGACAGAAAATTTTGTGGGTGATTTGAAATTGATATCTCATGTTGATGTCATTGCCATAAGTGAAAATTTGTTCATTATTTTGAATGTGATTATTAAATATTCATAAGCAAATTTTTGATTGAATATTATTTAGCAAGTTTTGTGTCGAAGCCTCTGTTGAGTATAAATTTCTTTTAATTGAAATTATTGGCATTGAATGAATGGCTGATGCACCAATACTAAAGAATAGAAACACTGAACAGTTCAATTCAATGATAAACCACAAAATAGAAATTATTAAAATCAACAAACGAGTTCAGGAAATTTATTTAGTGAACAAAGTCGGTTAAACATAAAAGCTCTTGAAGTTTGTTCACTCTTTGAGAATTTTTTTCTCGGGATTTTACACAACAAGGTGTGTAGACTGCTGTTGACTAAGTGACGTTGTCGCTTTTAATGTGAATTTTCTCTTTCTAACAAATTTTGAAGACATTGATCAATCATTGCTTCACTGCTGATAATTATTTAAGCCTAAGAAAATTTGAAGAATTCTCAAATATTTTCCATAACTTTTTTGATATTTTGAAACATTTTTTCAGAAAGAGATAAGAATATTTGAATTCAGATTTCAGTATGTTATATACCACATTCATTATTCAAACATCATTTATTATTAGTCTATATGATCATGATAACACTGAAAATAAACACTGACAATTATTTTCTTGGTGTTACAAACTCTTTCGTGACTCACTTGTAGTTGAAATATTTTGTCCTACAAATTTTAACTTTAATATTTATTACAGATTTTCTTTTATTTACCGACTCAATGAACAAATCAATTGCAGACTGGAACACAAGGCTTCACTAAAACTCACGATTGTTTAAAATCCATTCATTCAGAAAATGTTCTTTTCAAAACAGTCTTAAAAAGATATTTTTGTTTTCGAAAATTGCGTAATGTTTTATTTTTTTCTTTTTTATATTCTGGAAAAAATTAGCGTAGGTTAAAGATCTGAAATTAAAACTACAAATAAAAACGGTTTTTGTACTTTTCTCAAAAGAAAAAAAAGTCAAATGATGTAACCGGTGATTAATATAAAATTCACATGTCGACTCAACATCAAATATTCTCGTTCATAATTTAAATGTCAACACTTCAAGCTTTTATAAATCAATTAGTATTCACCTGTTGAAGTGCTTTCTATTTCAATATTGTTCATTCAAAAATTCGATAATGTGTTGATGTCAGTAAAACGTTGAAAGCTTTTCACAAATTTAACCAAATTTTTCTCTTCTTAATTTGCCACTGAGATTTGATAATATTTTCAATATTGTCATTAATATATTATTGAGAACATAACTACAAATATTTTCAAGATGTTAATGATTGATTGACTAAGTAAGCATGACGAAAATTTGAAATGCGACTAAATCGACCGGTTGTTACATTGAAACTGACGATGATTTTATTTTCGTGGTGAATTTCCTGCATTGTGCTTATGATTTTCTTTAATAGTATGTGTTACGCACAAACAACCTAAAACTACAATTAAACTTTGACAATCAGCTGTTGTGTGCAACATCAAAATCACCATCGAGCACGAGACATGAAAATTGTTTTTCACCACGAATGGTTAATTAGTAACACTAATAGTTTTTCTTCTTATTATTCTCATGTCAATTAAATATTGATGATCGGAATATCATAAAGAAAAAAATTTGTTGAATGAATAGAAATATTTTGATGAAAATGCTCACTCTAATAAAGCGTGTCAAAAACATTAAATCGCTTTAATATTCATTAATTCGATATGGATTGAGATAGAGCAGAACATTAAATATTTATGTCTGAAATCGTTAAAAAATGATTTTATGTTCACTTCCTTTGATATTTGGCTGTCAGCCTCAGATGAATAATTAATATTGGATAAACAAGTTGTGAAAATGTTTCCGATGAAAACCATAAGTTTATCATGAACTTCTATCGTCATTCACAGCTGTTAAAACTCTTGTTCAAGCTTTTATTTAATTTGAAATTACTGTTAAAATTTAATCGTTATAATAGCAAACATCTCGCAGAGATCTCTTAAATTAGGATTTTATCGTTAGCTTGTAAATAACAGTAAAGTTTAAAGTTTTGACACATTTTCGTTGCACGAATAAATTACCAAAATGTTTGATCTAAACTTTAGATAACTGCATTAAATAGAATTTATTTATATTTACAAGATTCGCTTAAGTTATTTATCTAGCTTAATTTCTGAGTATTTATGGTTGGATTTTATGATAAAAGTAAAAACTAGCAAGTCATTTTTTATTATTTGTCATACAAAATTGCAACTAAGTGTTCACATAACCGCAGATGTACGAACAATTGTTTTGATCGCAGCATATTTAAATAATTTTGCGTTACGTACACGTATTGAACATTAGCAAAGCTCACAAAGTCAAAGGAATGACAGAAATTGAGCTGTTCAAAAAGTCGCGAAAAATAATCGAAGATGAATAATCGAGCTCAATAATTGTTGCACATATAAAATTTGATGTGCAGGAATATTGGAGAATATTTTAATTAGGTACACTAAAAAGAAAAAATTTCAGACTTATTTTTTCATTTTAAAGACCATAATTTTTATCAATTTGATAACAACCCGATACATATTTTCATTGTCAAAACACATGTTGAGTAGTAATGTGTACAACTTGAAAATCTATGAAAATCAGTTAAAAATTTACCGTAGCAGAATGAAAACGTTTCACAAAAGACGATTATTATAATAACTGTCTTCGCTGTATTTAGCTTGCTTTTCAACTTTTTAATATCAATATCGATTAATAGAATTCAAAACTATATTCAACCAATTGTTGATGACAGCATAGAATCATTTGAAACCGGTAAATATACTTTCAAGTTTCAATCTTACATTAATTGAAAGTTTACACAAATTTTTTAGATCCAAACTTCATTCAATGCCCAGATTACTCCAAAGATTATC